TTTAGCGTTTTCAATTCAAATAAATTAATGTCTTTCTCAAGCAATTTATGAACCTTCATGGCGATATGATGCACGACGGTGTTCACATGTTAGTGTCACACAATGGGAAATCAAGACAAAGTGATATATAAGCACAACAGGCACATTTTACCAGTTTGAAAGGAAAATTCAATAAATTTCATATTGATTCATCAACTGAGAAAATAACAACATTCGTCTCATTCACCGAAGGAACTAGGAAAATTAAGTTCATCATTCACGCAACTCATTGGAGTCCTTAGGCAGCTCTCACCTATTTCGAGTTTCTGTGATAAAAATTTATGAAAGTCCTAATTGGCGGGATAATAGAGTGCTGAAAACAATAAATCAATTATGACACATTCCCATTAGAGAAGCAGTTAATTCTTAATTAATTCCACTGAAATTGTCAGCAGACCGATAGATCAGACATGTCACTCAGTTAGCAGACCACCATGACAGTAATTCGGCGTCCTCGGATTTGAATTGTACTGATACTTAGGTTCACTTGTTGTCGTCAATTGTTGCTTCATCATATACCACGGCTCGCTGACTTACGTGACAGGCGCTCAGACATTTGATACTGTGTTGGTACTGTGAGTGCTTACAGGCTACTTCAACCTGCGAAACACAGGCACATTTATTCTATGTTGCTCTTTTGTGGTGCTTAAATACACCACAGTTTTAAGATAAATTGCATCTTCCTTTTGATGGTGGAGGCCGATTTTTGCGCATGAATGTAATGATTATCTGCATCGCATTACACACTTAACAAGAATAACTCACTCATGTGCCCACCCAGCAGTCCTGGAATGAAGCTGGCTTCATACCATCAACGCGATGCAGGAAATGATAAAGTCATTTACGGAATTATTTTGGACTTGCTTGCTTATTTCTCCGGGATATTTTGAAGTATTATTCGCAATATTCAAGAATCTTCGTGCAACTAATAATGATCCATGATTCATTAAATTGACATGGAGAGTGATAAAACTAGGTTATAAATAAGGATCTTCTTGTCCAAGTTTCCGAGTCGCAGCTTTCTTTACATTTGATTCCCCATTTTCCGAAGAAAGGAAATGTCTTATTCGAAAAATATGTTGGTCAAAATTAGGTGTAACATTTCACCGATCAATTTGAAGACTTCTATGTCGAACTAGCAAATGACCTATTCAAAAGCTGATGTTCGATCTAACAATGATTGTAAAAAGAGCAAAATAAAGAAGATTTGTGGCTTGGGTGTATAGTATTTTCTGTGCGGGTCTATGTCATTGCAATTCGATCGTTGTTTAGATGAGTCCATAGCCTTAAGACACACTAGTCTTTTCCCCTTCATTCCTTTAGTTGCACCCAAACTTAAGCGAAATAATCTAATGTAATACAAGAATAAATAATGTCGGACGATGAATCTTTTTATTGCAATCTCATTTATTGCATTTGTGTGCATAGAATCCTAAAAGAAAAATCTGCTTTGGACTCTCAGTGTGAAAACTTACCTATATCTTCTATTTAAGTTAAAAATGACTCAATTTGTTGAATACCAACAGAGATTTGCGATTGATACAGAAGTAAAACTCAGCTGAAATTGAATTGTCAAGCTTCAGCATAGTGTCAGCCATCCTAAAATATCAACGGTCAAACCAGCTTTTCACAGGAATAACGGTTCAGTTAATTGATAGTTGTTTGAAGGCTTCTGAAAGTTGACTTAGCTGTTTAACGCGGGAAGACAAATTCACAAACACACTATGATAAAAATACCCTCATCAATTGCACCAGTTCAGTGGTGCCGAAACTGGAGAAGGATATGAGTTTAGACTTGGGACTAGAAACCCTACTATGGGCCATCGACAGAACAGCTACAGAAACTTGGAATCCTGAAAAATGTATGAGAAAATACTCATTCGTCGCCGAAATCTAGGAGTCGAAATGAATTCCTCTGAGTCAGAAACGAATAAGCATGGGGACGCGGGATGTTCACACCCTGTCCACCGTTAGGCTGTGAAATGAGAGATATGGTAAAAGAAGGTAAGAATCTGTCATAGTAGATTGAATGAAGGTTGACTCTCCGAACAGTTAAATGTAGAGTCATAATTTCATTCTATTCACACAAACAATAACCACGGATACACTGAATTAGTGGCTATCATGATAGCAAACACAAAATCGAAGGTACCATAGCAGTGGGAATCAATCATCTCCAGGATATAGACAACAATATTCAACTTAGAATGAAGGAAAGTTTCACTGATGCAAATAACGCGAACAGTTGTGAACAATACCTCAGTTCAATGTCGGCATCAACATCTTTGCTGCTGATGATTTCTAAAGGCTTCAGAGCATTTGTGTGATGTGTGATACCGGCAATATTTGAAAGTATTACATAAACATATATATGTATCATCTGCAGCATGACATGCAAGCGTTTTTGGCGAAACGAAGGAATCAACGATTTTCGCGAAACAACATGCGAAGCATGGGAGGAAGACAGATGACCACAGTAAGGAGGACACGTGCCAACTGTGAATTTAACATAAGGTTAATGCAATCTGGCAAAATCTTTACGTGGAGCTGCTATCAATCATCGTCGTTACTGAATTTTTTGTGTTACAGCGTCAGACAGATACAATTGGAGTGCAAAACTCAGAAACTGAAGCACGAAGGCATAAACAACAACTCTGCCGCAGCACCCAAATATATCTGTAGAAACTGATGAAGAATCTTTCATCATCACCAGTGTCAAGACACTTCCCTCATATTACTTAGCGACTTGATGCTTGCAAAAACCGAAAGCCTTCATCGATATTAGGAATCACGATTTCATCAACAGCTGCCTTCACTTGATGCTGAAGGCATGATAACTGCCTGAAAATGATAAGCAACTTAGACATCTGGCGAAAATCAACCAAAAATGTATATTCAGCAGGAATATGAATCAGATTATCACAAAAAGATCACTTGAAGCGATCAAGAAATCAATAGTGGATGGTTCTAATGGATAAATGGATTGGTTTGAGTGCAGAATGAGTACGTTCCATGAATAAATTTTGAAGAAAAAATATCAATATACCAGTGTTTAATACTGACTTGGATCAGTAACTGCAGGATAGAAAAAATTTGGAAATGATGGCGGAAATTAGGTAGTTAATTTCGACTTTTTGAATCTGTGAAAAATTCACCTGCATATTTATCTTTTCCAAGTCAATGTCCAAACTAAATACATCAACAATTGTGCAGTAAAATTCATATGAACTTCCCTCTCGCACTCTGGCTTTGCTTCAGTCAGCTCATTAAGTGATGGGAAATGAGACAGATTTCCCTGTGTAAAATTAGACTATAGCTTATAGTTTTCATCTTAAGAAATACAAGTGGTATTTGAAGAAAACTCATTAGATAGAAGAAGGAAAGCCTTTCTGAAATGAAAATCACATTTGGAGACCAACCGTCAACATGGAAAGTCTTCCGCTCTACACGAAATGCACATAAAACGTATCAGCAACCGTGAGCTGACATAAACCGTCATTTGACCTGATACCAAGGAACCTAGATAAAAGCCGGGTGAGTAAAATATGCGGGAATTATAAAATAACCAAATTTATCGACCAAAATTCCCAGGCACTTATTTGACTCAACATTAATGTAAAGAAATACTAAATATAGCTGATACGTGAAAACCAACGAAGCACCAAGAGGCACAACAATTGATCGGAAATTTCAGCCAGAAGTCTCACTTTCACGTGTGTGTTTTTCTTGCAGAAACAAAAGCATTCTCACACGTGTGTTCTTCGGCATCTTCACTTTTGGCAAAATGACATTGCTGTGAACATTGCTTGCAGTAAATATGGAGTTCCTGCGTACAGTTTTAGACGTTATCTGTAGATGAAATGTATGCGGAATCGTCATCCACTTGTTAAAACTACTCTATTATTGTAATCCCGATGTACGTCGGTACATCAAAAAACTAATCATCTCAAAACTGTGAGTCACCAGCTGCTAGTCAGGCTGAAAAACAGTGAATTTTTCAGCATCGGTAGAACAGTTCCCGCTGTGGTTTGATGTGCTTGA